TAGATAATATCTAATAAACTCTCGAGTGGTTGTTTTTATAGATCATATAGTGGTTCGATACCTATTTAAGAAGCCTCAGTCTAAACCTAGATTGCTGAGATGGACTTTGCTACTACAGGAGTTTGATATTGAGATTAGAGGTAGAGCCGAAGCGGAGAATCATGTAGCTGACCACCTTAGTCAATTATCTGAAGGCATACAAGGAGTTGACTCTTCTGATCTTGTTATTGACTCATTTCCTGATTATGCACTTTTTACCTTGGCTATTTATGGGCCTTGGTATTCTAATATAGTTAATTATCTTGTCACTGACCTTATACCTCCTTCTATGTCTAAATTTTAGATTGATAAGCTAAAGAAAGAGGCAAGATGCTATATCCAAGATACTCCAATCCTGTGGAAGCAATGCAGTGACCAGATCATCAGACGCTGTGTTCCAAATAATGAGATCTGCTCTATCCTTACCTTTGCACATTCTTTATCTTGCGGGGGGCATTTTAGTGCTAATAAGACTGCTAGGAGGGTTTTAGAGTGTGGTTTTTATTGGCCTTCTCTATTTAAGGATGCTTATTCTTTCTGCAAGTCTTGTGATAAGTGTCTGAGGTTTGGGAGTTTGGGTAGGAAGCATGAGATGCCTCTAAGACCTATGCATTTTTTGTGAAATATTTGATGTGTGGGGCATGGACTTTATGGGTCCCTTCCCTTCGTCTTTTAGGTTTTCATACATATTACTTGCAGTAGATTATGTGTCTCATTGGGTAGAGGCAGTGCCAACTAGGAAAAATGATGCTTCTACTGTTGCCAAGTTTTTACGTTCTCATATCTTTTACAGGTATGGCATTCCAAGAGCAATCATCAGTGGCCAAGGAACACACTTCTGCAACAGGACCATCAAGTCTCTATTGGCTAAACATGGAGTCTATCACAAGCTGCCACTCTTTATCACCCTTAGACGAATGGGTTAGCTAAAGTCTCTAACTGAGAAGTGAAGCGAATACTTGAGAAGATCGTGAAACCATCCCATAAGGACTAGAGTGAAAGGCTTGAGGAAGCTCTTTAGGCTTACAAGACTGCCTACAAGACCCCTATAGGCATGTCCCCCTTTCAATTGCTCTATGGCAAGGCTTGCCATCTACCTATGGAGATTGAGCATAAATCTTATTAGGCAATCAAGGCATGTGATGCATATCTCAAATCTTCACTTGTCAATCGGAAGATACAACTCTAAGAACTTGAAGAAATGAGACTTGAATCCTATGATAATGCCAGAATCTATAAAGACAAGCTAAAAATGATTCATGACAGACAGATTCTGAGGAAGCAGTTTCATGAAGGTGACAAGGTTCTGAAGTTTAAAGCCCGGTTGAAGCTGATGCCTAGGAAGTTTGTTACCAAGTGGGAAGGTCCATTTAGAGTTACTAAAGTATATCCCTTTGGCACGGTAGAGCTCGTAGATGAGGAGACCATTATGACTTCACAAGTCAATGGCCATCTGCTGAAGCACTACCATAAGGATCAAAGACCTCCTAATCACACGGTTGTTCCCTTCCACCCTACTCTTTTACTTTCTGTTGTATTGCTAGTGATATCTATTGCTGAGATAGTTATGAGTAAGTGTGGGGGAGGGAACTTCTCTAATAGTTGTAGTTGTAGCTCTTTATTTCTGTTTAGTAGTTGTTTGTTTCTTTCCTCTTGATTCTGCCATCTCTTTTGATCACTTGATTTATACTTGTCCATTTTCTTTTCACATTATCTTATCATATCCCTCCCTTCTCTCTTTTTCGTGATAGTGATGTGTTGTGCTTCGATTTCAAATCGGACTTCACAACTTCGACTTCACCTGAGAGTTTACGTTAAGATAATGTTGTTTTTTCTTACATTGAGGACAATGTATTGATCAAGTATGGGGGAGGGATTGTTGTTGAGTTGTTGAGCTGTTTTTGAAAAAAAAAATTTGCCTTTGGATTTGCTCCTATTTCCTAAGTATTGCTGCTATAATTGCTCTCTCCTTTGCCTTATTAGTTGATTTCTGAATTGCATCGCATGATTTGAGAGTGATTCTTGCTTAGGAATTTTGTTGCTGGTTTCTATGTCCTCTTGCTTTCATTCACCTCAGTGTTCTGCACTGCTGTATGGGCGAGTTGCTGTTTTCTCTGTTGCTGACTTTTGACTTTTGTAATCCTTGGGCATCTCTTTTAAAATCTTTTTGCACAATGCTTGTGAATGTTGCACGGTTGAGTTTGATTGCATTTGATTTGAGTGATTTATGTTCTTAGTTGGTTAGCATAGTAGAATTCATTTGGTGTAGTGTTATTAACCTCGTTTCATAGCTTGATCCTTAAGGAGGAAACATCTTGGAGAAAGCCTTGATAGAAGGATTATTGAGCCATGTATTCTTTCTCATCTTGTGTGATTTTCACCTAGTTTTGGTTAACCTCTAGAACTTGTCTAAATTCTTTTTCAAAGCTACTTTAATACCTAGGTTTATGAAGATGATAGGGGCATTCATTTCTAAATTTTTACCCAAACACAAACCACTTCATTTAACCTTTGTTTACCCCTCTGAGCCTTTACTTTCATTCTATTCATTGCTTTTTAGCACGTGTTTTGCATGAGTTACATTTGGTTTTTTATTTTGAAAAGTATATCATTAATGTCTATATCTTTGCCTTCTTGGGTTTGGATGCCAAAGAAAAAAAGCAAAAAAAAAAAAAGAAATAGAAAAAGGCAATAAAGAGAAGAAAATGTTTAGAAAAAGCCAAAGAAAGAAAGTTATAGAAGGAAAAAGAAAAGAAAAGAAATAAGTTGCAACAAAAGAATAAATTTGAAATAAGGCATTTAATGGTGGTTTGAAGAGCAAGGATTTCTGTCTCAAAAGGTTAAAATCTGCATATTGGTGTTGTTTCATGATTGTACTTTAGCTTACTTTGAGTTGATACTTTATTACTTATGTATTTCACTTGTTAGTCCATTGCATTCATTTGGCCTTGTTTTTTCAACATTACAACCCTTCAAGTCCCCTTGATCATGAATCTAAGGTATGCTAGTGATGGAGATATTAGAATCTCTACAAGCTTATGGTAGGTGCTAATCTAGGTGGATTGAGTGAAATTTTTTCCATTTGAGAGATGAATGAAACACTTGTAATCTATGTGAGCTCTATTATGTTTCTCTTCCTTTATCCTGCTATGTTTCAAGTGTTAATTTCTTTGCACTGAAGTATTCTACAATTGTTGATTGATTAGGAATAAAGGTTGCTTGAGTTAATTGCACATTCATGCTTAGTTAGTTTTATGTTTGCTTGCATTGAGTCTCTTTATTAGATTCCTTTTTATTGATGTTTTGCCCAGGAGTGCAAAAGGCTAAGTGTGGGAGAGTTAACAAACTCAATTATTTTTATATATTTTGATATCTTTTATATGGGTTTTGTCAACTTAATTGGTCCTTTGTTGGTCTCAATTGATTGTTAATTGATTTATTATATTTTATTTTTGAATTATTATTTTTTAGGGGCAAAATTGTCATATTTTGGTTTAATTATAATTAATTGATTTTTAAGGACAATTAATGCTACTTTATTCTTAAATTTTGATTACAGGTTTTTGGAAGATTTAAAAAATAAAAATAAAAAAGAAACAAAGAAGTAAAAAATAATATAAATAAATAAATAATATATATAATAAAGGGGGGAGCAAAACGCAACTTCCTGTCCCCAACCTAATATACTACTACCTCCGGTCCTTATTATAAGACCCATTTGACTTTTTGTTTGGTCCTAATTATAAGACCCCAATCCATTTTGTCTCCCATATTTATGCATTTTTTTCCAAGATAATCCTTCTAATAATAATAGTTCTAGCCAATATACTTAATTAGCAAGGATATTTTAGGAATGACAACACTTATTTATTACAAATAACTAACTTAACTTACTTCCTTAATCTTCTCAAATAAGTCAACTGGGTCTTATAATTAGGACCGGAGGTAGTATAATTCATTCATCACCTTTATTCAGGAGGGGCACGAGTGACGGCGCAGGCGAGAAACAAAAAAAGAAAGAAGGACTAGTAGGCAACAAAAAAAGGGATTTAGCGTGAGGGGCAAGGGATCACTTCTCTCACCTCCATTCAAGACCATCATCATCGTCGACTTCTTACTGGTGGCAGCGAGAAGAGAGCAACAAGAGAAGAGCGAACCAGGGGGGCTCGACACACAATCCATCATCATCTTCTTCTCCTTCTAGATGCGAACAAAGTGGTGGCAGAGGGAGATCTGGCGTGAACAGTGTTCTTTATGGCAGCCCATAGTAGAACATTGATTGTGGCATTCCTTATAGCAAATCGTTGCTAGAGCTTAATGACTTTCTAATTCAACAACAATGGCAGGAGCTCGAATCATAAGGGAGCCTTAGTTACTTTAATTTTCTGTCCAATAATTGTTTAACAGTTCCTAGGTCTTAGGATAGTTATTCTAATTATTGGAAAATTTTTATTGTTTAATCTGATTATATTTGGAGATTATTGTGACTGGATTATTGTTTAGCATTTGACATTGGGCTGTTTATAGCTTTGATTTCAATTATGATGTTGTGGTTATGACATTTATATTGATTTTAGAGTTAATATATTGTGATTTTCTAAGGTGGCTTAGAATCTTGGATCATATTGTCTCTTGCTAGCTTTAATTCTATTGTTTTGGATTTAGGAGTTCTAATTAAGTATTGGTTTTTAGCATCCTTAATCCCATTTTACTATTCTGGATGCAGTTAATAAGTTGGGATTTTAGGAAAATATTTTGTGGCAATTCGAGGTGGCTCAGTTGTTAGATCAAAAGCTTAATTATAATTTTAAATTCATTATTTTAACTCCCGTATCTTTTGGAGTAAGGATTGCCTGCGTTGTTGAATTGGAGGATTGATTATTATCATTGTTATTTGTGTGTTTCATTTTTGTTTCTTTAATCTTCATTCATTTTGATAATTTTTATATAAAAACAAAAAGAAAAGTATTTTGATTTCAATTTAATTCATGGTGTCTAATTAGAAATTATCAAATCAAAAATCTTTTTTATAGTTTAGGTTACTTGCATTTATTTACTAGGATTTAATTTCATTTTCAGTTCCTCAAAGTGAATACGACTCAGATTGTGTACTATATTGTATTAATTCGGTTAATTTTTGGAGTAACCCAAAGTGACAAATTAAGGGCAATTAACTTCGAGTGCTATGGGCTGCCACAGAGAACACTGTTCACATTGGATCTCCCTCTGCCGCCACTCTGTTCTTGTCAAGAAGGAGAAGAAGAAGATGATGGATGGTGCGTCGAGCCCCCCTGGTTCGCTCTTCTCTCGTCGCTCTCTTCTCGCTGCCACTAGTAAGAAGTCAACGGTGATGATGGTCTTGAATAGAGGTGAGAGAGGTAATCCCTCACCGTTCACGTTGAATCCCTTTTTCTGTCGCCCACTGGTCCTTCTTTTTTTTTTTGTTTCTCGCCTGCGCCGTCACTCGTGCCCCTCCTGAATGAAGGTGATGAATAAATTATAGTATATTAGGTTGGAGGGGAGGGGAAAACGTTGCGTTTTGCTCCCCCTTTTATTATTATATATATTATTTATTTATTTATATTATTTTTTTCCTTCTTTGTTTTTTCTTTTTTATTTTTATTTTTAAATCTTCCAAAAACTTGCAATCAAAATTTAAGAATAAGGTAGCATTAATTATACTTAAAAATCAATTAATCATAATTAAACTAAAATATGACAATTTTGCCCCTAAAATATAATAATTCAAAATAAAATATAATAAATCAATTAACAATTAATTAAGACCAAAAAGGACTAATTAAGTTGACAAAACCCATATAAAAGATATCAAAATATATAAAAATAATTGAGTTTGTCAATGCTCCAATTCCACAAGCAAATGGCATGCTTTTTCGAACACTAACTGATATGGAGACATCCTAATCGGAGTTTTATAAGCTATCCTGTAAGCCCAAAGAGCATCATCCAGTTTCAATCACCAATCTTTTCTTGTTGTACTGACTACCTTCTCGAGAATGCTTTTAATCTCTTGGTTAGGTATTTCAACTTGGCCATTAGACTAAGGGTGATATGCGAAGTTACCTTATGCTTCACACCATATCTCTTCCTTAGAGCTTGAAATTGATGGTCACAAAAATGAGAGCCACCGTCACTAATGATAGCCTGGGGTGTTCTAAATCTAGTGAAGATGTTCTTCTTTAGAAATTTGATCACAGACTTAGCATGACTAGATACACATGCCATAGCTTCTACCCATTTTGAAACATAGTCCACAGCGACCAAAATGTACTCATGATTGAGAGACTTTGAAAAAGGCCCATGAAATCAACCCCCCATACATCAAAAAATTCAACCTCTAAAATGTTATTCAGAGGTATTTCATTTCTCCTTGATATGTTTCCAGCTCGTTGACACCAATCACACCGGATCACAAAGGCGTATGCATCTTTAAAAAATGAAGGCCAATAGAAACTACTTTGAAGGACTTTAGCAGTAATTTTCTCTCCTCCAAAATGTCCTCTATAGGCAGAAGAATGACAACACTATAGAATGTCTTGCTATTCAGTTTCTAGAGCACATCTTCTTATCAGTTGATCGGCACATCTTTTGAATAAATAAGGCTTTTCCCAAAAATACATCTTTGCATCATGAAGAAATTTCCTCTTTTAGTGGAAATTAAAGTCTGGTGGTAGAGTTCCATAAACCAGATAATTAACCAGATCTATATACCACGGAGTAAATGAATCATCTACAAAGAACAAACCTTTATCGGGGAAAGCTGCATTAATCTCTTGGCAATGATCATGTTAAGCTTCAGTACTCAATCGAGATAGATGATTTGCCACTTGGTTTTCAGTTCCCTTTCTATCTATAATTTCCAAGTCAAACTCTTAGAGCAAGAGGACCCAGTGAATCAAACATGCTTTGGAATCTTTCTTGGTAAACAGATACTTTAGAGCAGAATGGTCCATGTAAATAGTCACTTTAGTGCCTACAATGTAAGAATGGAATTTTTCACAAGCAAACACCACTGCTAGTAGTTTTTTTTTTCTGTAATGGTGTAGTTATTAAGTTGGGTATCATCCAGGGTCTTACTTGCATAATAAATGGGATGGAAAATTTTTTTGCTTTTTGTCCCAGTACTGCTCCAACGGCGAAATCATTAGCATCACCATAATGATGAAGGGTAACTTCCAATTAGGTACCACTAGAATTGATGCTGATGTGAGTCTCTTCTTTAACTCCTCTAAAGAGTTCATTCAAGCTTCATCGAATTTGAACTCTTTATCTTTCTTTAGAAGATTGCACAAAGGCTTAGTGATCTTAGAGAAATCTTTAATAAAACGATAGTAGAATCTCGTATGACCCAAGAAACTTCGAATACCCTTCACATTTATTGTGGGGGCAATTGCTCAATAACATAAACCTTTGCGTTGTCAACTTCCAAGCCTTGTTTGGATACCCGATGACCAAGGACAATACCCTCTTGCGCCATGAAGTGACATTTTTCCCAATTCAAAACCAATTTAGTGTCTTCATATCTTTACAATACATCTACCAAATTATCTAAGCAGCAATCAAAAGAATCTCCCAAAATAGAGAAATCGTCTATGAATACTTCAATTGTCTTCTCGATCATGTGGGCAAAAGACCAAAAGGCATGCTTTTGAAAGCAAACATGCCATACGGGCAAGTAAATGTTATTTTCTCTTGATCGTCTATGGCTATCGCAATTTGATTGTATCTAGAGTATCCATCCAAGAAGCAGAAGAATTCTTGCCCAGCGAGCTTATCCAGCATCTGGTCAATAAATAGCAGTGAGAAATGGTCCTTTCTGGTTGCAGCATTTAACTTTTAATAGTCTATGCAAATTCTCCACCTAGTCACAGTACGAGTTGGGACCAACTCATTTCAGGTGTTAGACACTTTAGTTATACTACCCTTTTTAGGGACGCATTTAACTGGCCTCACCTATGAGCTATCAGAAATAGGGTATACTATGCCAGCAGAAATCCATTTAAGGATCTCTTTCTCAACCACCTCTTTTATAACTGGGTTCAATTGCCTCTGATGCTCAATGGACGGCTTGTGATCATCTTCTAATAGAATCTTGTGCATGCACAAGGAGGGCCTAATCCCTTTGATGTCAGATACGGACCACCTAATAGCTTTCTCCTGGTTTCTCTAAACCCTTAAAAATTTCTCCTCTTGTGACATGGACAACTTAGAAGATACAATTACAAGTAACGTGGCAGAACTACCCAAGTAGACATATTTGAGGTGAGGAGGTAAAGTCTTCAACTCCAACACCAAAGGTTCATCAACAGAAGGCTTTAGTGGAGAGCTTAAAGTACTAGTCACATCAAGAGGCTCAAAAGCCTTAACTCTTTGATAAGGAAATGTTTCAATACTCAACATTTCTGCGTACTCTTAAATCTTGCCATCAATACTACTCATTTTTCCAACCAACAATACTTCCAAGGAATCTTTGGTCAGAGAGTTAATCAACTCCTCTTGTACTACAGATTCAATTGCATCAACATAATTGCATTTTAATCATCTGGAAATTTCAAGGCCTTATTCATGTTGAATATGACCTTCTCATCATTTACTGGCATGGTGATTTCACCCTTTTCCACATCAATAAGAGTTCTTGTGGTAGCTAAGAATGGTCTTCCTAAGATGATAGGAATGTTCCAATCTACCTCATAATCCAACATAATGAAGTTAGCTGGAAATATGAATTTGCCTACCTTCCCGAGGGCGTCTTCTATAACCCTTTTGGGGTGTGAGATACTTCTGTTAGTAAAGAGCAATGTAACAATGGTTGGCCTTACTTTACCCAAATTTAAGTGATTGAAAATAGCAAGAGGCATCAGATTGACACTAGCTCCCAAATCACATAGCACCGCCTTTCTATTAAAGTGTTTGCCAATGTTGCACTGGATATAGATACTGCCCATATCTCTCAATTTGGGTGGAAGTTTTCTCTGAAGAATGGCGCTACAATCTTCTGTAAGGGCTACTGTTTCAAATTCACCAAATCTCTTCTTTTTGGATAAGACATCATTAAGAAAGCTAGCATTCTTAGGCATTTGATCTAATGCTTCAGCAAACGGGATGTTGATGTGCAATTGCTTAAACATGTCCACAAACTTCTTGAACTGGACATCCTCCTCTTTCTTTCTAAACCTTTGAGGAAAAGAAGTGGCAGCATCTTTCAGGAAGGAGGAAGAGTTGCCTTCCTTTTTTTTTTTATCATCAATCATTTCACCTTCTACATTCTTCCTTTTAACCACATCATTGAGATTTTCTTTTGTTTGTTTCCTTTTCTTGCTCTTTTCCTGTTCTACTATAGCACCTTTTCTAAAAGCTCATTTTTATCAAGGTCAATCACCACAGTGTTAGTGATGTCTTTGTTGATTCCATTAGACTTAGGAATGTTGGGTAGTTGCTTTCCACTTCTTAGAGTGACAGCTTTACACTCTTCGTTACCATCCCTTTTGAGATTGGGAATGGTGTCACTTGGAAGGCTATTCCTCATGAGTACATTCATTTATGAAGCTAGTTGACCCATCTGAACCTCAAGATTCTTGATAGTAGTTTCTCAGAGAGAGAAGGTTGTCTTATTATTAGCCCTCACAGATTCTTGATTTGCCAACAACTGAGCGGACATTTTTTTGATTTTGGATTCTTCCTTCTAAGGATTCTGCTACTGTGATCATTGCTATGGTTGGCCATGAAAACTAAGAGGCACCATTTGCTTAGCACCAGAAGATAATATTTGTGGCGGATTCAGACTTAGCCCATTCCACTATGAGAAATTTAGGTGATTCCTCAAGCTTAGGTTGTAGGTTTGAGAGTAAAGACTTCCTTGTGGCCTTCGTTGCATATTGTTCATATAATTGACTCTTTCTAAAGTGTAAGGGCATTGACTAGAATGATGTTCCTCATTATAATGTTCACAAGTGTACCCAGGAGCCTGAAGTGCATGAACTCCCATAGTATTGCCATTCTTGATTTGCATCTCCAAATTATCGATCTAAATGATGAATGATTAGGCTCTTTATATCTCCCAGAGCCTTGCCTTCTCTTGTTAAATTGTTGCATAGTACTAGAGGCCACATCTTCATACAATTAATACAGCTCATTTACCTTCATCTTTCCAATTCCCCTATTTGAAGCGATGTTGAGCATAGTCACTGTCTGATCATTCAACACATTTTAGAAAGGTTCCATTAGAACATATCTTTTTTGCTCATGATTTGGTAAATTCCTCTACATATCCTTGAATCTCTCCCAGGCCTCATAGAATAACTCATCTGGTTGCTGCTCAAAGGAAAGTAATTCACCCTTTAGAGTACCTTGTTTATCTCTTGGAATAAATCTGGCCTTAAACTTTGCCACAAGCTCATCCTAAGTCTTAATTAAGTGTTCTGGCAAGGAATTCAACCATGCTTTTTCCTTGTGAGATAAAGACATAGGGCACAACCTTAACCTCAAAGCATCTTTAGAGACCTCATTTTGCTTGAAGTTTTCACACACCTTCACAAACCTGGTCAAGTGCTCATTAGGATCATCATTGAAATGTCCTTCAAAAGTACTAATCATCCCCAGTAGTTGAATCATAACTCACTTGATTTTAAAATTTCTGGCTTGAATGTCTGGTAGCAGAATACTTGAGTGAACAGTCTGCCTTTCCTTATCCAAGTGATCATCCAAAGTGTACAAGTCATTCTTATCTTGTTCTACCATGTTTTCTTGTTGTTCTGTTGTAAGTGGTGGTGGTGGTGGTAGACCTAGCCAAGGTCGTTGTTGAATCTCTAGTGTGTTCTCAGTTTCTCTCAAACTAGATCCTTCTTCAATAACCTCTTCTAAAATAACTTCCAGATTTCCTTGCATGCGTCAGGAGGTACCTATGAAGTGAAATAAAAAACAAAAGTATCAAACTTATCAAGTGAAATGAACTAAATAAATACTATTATTCTACCTATAACTATCACTACAAATGCTTTAAAAAAAATTAAGCGTAACCAATCACACAATAAAGACAATCAACCACAAACAATCTTGCTGTTAGTCCCAATAACAGCACCAAAAACTTGTTCACTGAATAGCTTAACCGCAAGCGGATAGGTCGCAAGTAATATAAAAAGTATCGTTCCCTTAGAGATTAAGGCCAGACAAGTTAAAAATCATAATTGTGTTCTTGATTAGGTTAAGTGAAGTAAATGTTGTAAAAGAGATTGTGTAATGTGATCAAAAAAATATGATTTAAATTGAAGTAAAATAAACTTGACTTTGAGACAAATAAGGGTCTAGGGTTATTTTTCACTACTATACTTCATAAAACTTGATTAATCTCTTCTCACATAGTGGTTAACAATAAGTTCAGGTAGCCTAGGGTTCACAAATATTCATTAAGCTTTCTCAAGTGAAAACCAAGTTTTGCAATCTTAATAAAACTTCGCAATCTCTTGCTTTTGTTTGAAAAGGTTGCACTTTAAAAACCAAGACCTTTTTTTAGACTATGCTAGGTTAATAAATATATCTCTATTCTATCAATAAACCTTCCATTTAATAGGATAAATTTCCGTTCTAGCACGTTTTTACCTAAGTTTAAAGATTAATTAAACTTTCTCGAGCTTCAACCAATCAACTAAACATTCCAAATGGTGGCTAATCACAAAGAAGCATAAAGCTCAAGATAAAAATAACATAACATTATCGTTAACACCAAAGAGAGAGTTAAAATAAGTCTTAATCCATACAATAGATCAAGATAACCCTAGGATGACTACTCTAGCTACACATATTTAGCAAAGAGCCATAACTATAGAGATAGTTGCAAGCCATTTCAAAAATAAAGGAGAAGAGAAGAGGAAAACCAAGAAAAATGAAGGAAGAAGCTTTCAATCTCTTGCAACTTCAAGCCCAACATTCCTAAGCTTTAAAATCTCCAAACCCTAGCAGAGTAGACCTCTAAATGAGCCCCTAGTCAAAGTATATTTGAAAATCATGAGTCCCCCCACATATATGTCCTAATTTTTAAGTTACATTACAAAACGCATAGCTGTGAGGAGGCAGACACCGCAATAGATATGGTTATCCGGCACAGTGGATTACACAGAATGGGACTCTTTGGGAAGAGGTTGGATGCCACGACAGATATGGACAGGCGTCGCGGTGCCTTACACCGAATAGCAGCTTCTTGAGACAGACTGGGCGCTGTGGCGCCTTACACTTAATGCCATTTTTTCCTCTCTATTGTAGCCACCGTGGCAGTTTTCTTCATACGCCACGACAGATGGTGTATCTTCAGTTTCTTCACTTTTGGTTTTCTATCCTTGCTCACTCTAGGCCCTTGATTTTCCCTTGATTGCCCAAAATTGGCTGAATCTTCCTCCTTGTCATTCATCTCACAGCTCTCGTTATTTCCTGCACAAAGAATCTCAGAAGCATTGCACAAATAATTCACTAATGTTAGCATAAATTAAAGTTCACTTGACCAAACCATGTTTTCTAACTTCAAGAGGAAAATCCTGCACAATTATCTTCCAAAATCCAAGAAAAAGTGTTAAAACTAGTTGAATTAGTAGAAATTTCGAGAGGTTATCACATATTCTTGTGCATGCATGTTGAACTTCAGAGAATAATGCATCAATAATGAGGAATCAATAAGATAATTTATACTTTCTTTAACTTGGCTCCTTGCTATTTCAAATGACTCGACATCTCTATATAGGCCTAGCCCCACTCCATATCTGAAAAGATCTTCAACAACAATGCTGTGATCTTTAGGAAACATTACACATATTAACAATAGTAGCTTTGATTCTAGGGTTTCCAAATAATCTTAAAAGACAAGCAAAAGCATTCCTTACACCTTTATCCACATTATTCAGCTTCGTATTCCTCAACCTATACAACATTACATTCATTTTATCAACTCTTTTTCCTTTCAAGCAAGTTCCTGTAGCTACAATTGCAATAGGAAGGCCCTTGCATTCCATAACAATTGCTCGAGCCACAACTTCTTTAACAGCATCATCAACGTTAGCATGAGTTTGAAACAAAGTCCAAGCTTAATCTTCTTTTAACAAATCAAGTTGAATTATCTTTTGGCATCCCATCAAGGTATATACATCTAGACAGCATGTGGTCATAACAACTTTGCAACTTCTTTGATGATTTCCCTCAAAGGGAATCCTAATGTCCTCAAGATTCAGTATGGCCCATACATCGTCTAGTATTAACAAAATTTGTTCACCACTTTGTAATCATAGTGCTATTCTTTTTGCCCTTCCCGTTTCATATTCTTCCTCCAATTTAACCCCTAACATGTTAGTAATTTCACCTTGAATTTTTCTTATGTAGGCTTTAAGAAATTGTAGTAAACACAACTCGATCAAAAAGCTTTGACTCTTTAGCTTTCTTTTCCACTTCTTTAACCAAGGTGGGTTTCCCTAATCCTCCCATGCCCCATAGCCCAATCATAAAGGTACCATCATATTATGGGGCCTCAAACAATTGATCAAAAGCCATTTTTATAGAGTTGAAGAGCATAAAGTTTTGAGAAGAGTAATGCTCTATATCTAAAACAATAACAAAATGGGAAAATGGATTGAAGATCACTCTTTGCATTTAGATCAATCATCGTCTTGGCTGTCTTAGCCAAATTTTCACATAGACAATATCCCCTCCAAGGGGCGCACCACCCGTGAAGGCAGTCGTCATGGGCCCTTAGTCCTTCCTCCAATTTCTCCACCTCTGCTATGAGGGTCTTCACATCATTCTTCCACTTGTTAACCTCATAATCAATCCTCTCGATCTTGTTGATTGCCTCTTGAACACGTTCCTGCACGCTCTCCTTCTTCAGTATCAGCTCCTCCTTTCTATTCTCAACATTTCTGCTGATTTTGTTGACACAAAACAAACATTGTAGCTGTAGAGTCAGATCTGCCAAATATCAAGCAAGTTTTACTGCTACTGACACTCCCACCTCTGCCATTTAGTATTAATGGCAACCTGAAACGAGAGCCATTCATGATCATGAAATGATTAGCTCAAGATTTCATTTTTGAAGAATTATCTTCAAGGATCTTATTGCGTACTTAATCTTTCATGAGGATATCATTAAAATGAAAAGAATGATCAACACAAAAGAATCGAGAGATATCATTGACGCTTATGTAAGGAAAAATAAATAGAACAATGATAAAAAGAAAAATAGAAAAGGAGACATCTGACACTCCCACCTCTGCCATTTAATATTAATAGCAGCCTGAAAGGAGAGCCAATCATCATTGTCATTAAATTATTAGCTCAAAATTTCATTTTGAAGAATTATTTTGAAGCATCTTGCATACTAGCCTTTCATGAAGATATCATCAAGATGAAAAGAATAACTTTTTTATCCATCCAGATTAAAATAAGAAAGATAAATTGTTTTGGTTCAGCTTTCTTTCTCTGATATCAGTTTTTTTTTTGCCCCAGCTATGTTTAGATATTAGAGTAACAAATTATTGTTTTACGATTTGTTTTTTCTAGCAGAATGATGCAAAGGTGAAAGAGAAGGGGGGAAAAAAGTAGTTTGAAAATGGCAGCAGTAATTATTAGTAACTAAGAAGTTATTCATACTTTGAGAATTGGGAGAGATCACAAATAGACGCTTATATATGGAAAAGCAAATAGAATAATGGTAAGAGAAAATAGATAAAGAAAAATCCAAAAGACTAAAGTTGGAAAAAATAAGACTCTGGATCAGGAGGAGGATATTGCTTCATACCTGTGATGAATTTGCACTTTCAGTCTTGGATTGCAGATTTTCAAGAGTGAGAGATCAGAAGGGCATTGTGATGACCGATCTTGAGAGAAATTGAGTGGTCAACTAAGTTGGAACTTGGAAATTGGAAGTGACGAGCAGAGCCACAAAACACGCTACCCTTCTCCCAAAATTCAAAGGTTAAGAAATTATTTCTATATGACTTCAAAAATTATCCAATTTAGCCTTCGTATTATTATTTGTATTGGAAATTGTTGTTGTATTTTTTCTATTTTGTTATGTAAACTACTATGTGTATCTTAGGCTTAGGCCCATATAGGTTTTTGTACAAGTTTAGGGGGCAGATGCTTATCTACCCGCCTATAAATATTGGGTCAAGCAGGCCCATAGTGTGTGTAATTGTTCATTCTTCTAGATTAATGAAATTACTCAGATTCAGTTGTGCTGTGCGTTTTAGTAACCAATGTTCAAGATGGCATTAGTGCACCAGATTATCGCCGTCTAGGGTTAACCAGAGAGACCTTTGACGCAAGATCATCAAATTCTCCACCGCAAACCTGATGGGAGAAGAAAAGGTAGCACTCAAAGCAAGTCCATTCTCACACCCACTATTCCTGTACCCATCGGACACTCAGGGCATGGCGATTATCCCTTATATTCTGATCGGCACAGAGAATTACACCGTTTGGTCTCGTACGATGAGGATCGCGCTCCTTGGGAAACATAAACTTGGATTCGTCGACAACACCTACAAGAAAGTCGATCAAGAGGAGCACCTGCGACTGCAATGGGAGAGCTATAACGCTATTGTCCTCTCGTGGCTTATCAACTCCATCTCAAAAGAATTGGCTAACGGCATCATCTTTTTCTAAGATGCACATCGTGTCTGGATTGAGCTGAAGGAAAGATTTGACAAGAAGAGCGAATCACGCGTATTCACACTGGACAGGGGAATTAGTTCCCTCCATCAGGGTTCAAGCTCGGTCATTGCCTATTTGTCAAAGTTAAAGGAGTTGTGGGAGGAGCAAGCGGCGCTTGTGACAATTCCATCCTGTATATGCGCAACGACCAAACCCTATTTAGACGCCATTCAGGAGCAAAAATTATTGCAATTCCTAATGGGTTTGAATGAGAATTTTTCGCAAGTGAGAGGTTAGATATTGCTCATGTCCCCTCTTCTATCCGTAAATGATGTATACGCTATGGTTATTCAAGATGAAACACAACGCTCCATCTCTTATGCTGATAAAGTCATCCCCATATAAGGACTTGCAATGGCTATAAGAGGAAGGGGATGCGAGCACGGAAGAGGGAGAGGAGAAAATGTGCCTAAGTTCACTCACTGCCACAGAAGGGGACACCTTTGGGAGAATTGTTTTCAAATAATTGGATTCTCGGTAAACTTCAAAGGTGGAAAAGGAAGACAGCAAAGGGAATCCCAGTAAGAGGGAGCTGACTCTAGCAAGGAATTGAATCTAATATCCAAGGACATACTGCAACGACAGAAGCTCTAACGTTCACACAGGAGCAATACGAAAGGATCCTGGAGTTGTCAAAGAAAGAATAGAGCCTGTTGTACATGCTTTAACGGGTACAGGTTTGACCTCTTCTATACCACATGTTAAATCTCATACACACTGGATTTTAAACTCTAGTGCTACTACTCATATGGCTAGTAAATTGGAACTATTCGACACTTATGAACAATATAATGGTCCAATTAAAGCAATTAAGATACCTAATAGAGATAGACTATCTGTTACGGATATAGGCACTGTTACTATTGCTGAAAATATTGTGATTCATGATGTTTTGTTTGCACCTCGTTTGGAATTTAACCTTATATTGATATCTAGATTCACAAAGGAACATAATTGTATGGCTGCCTTCTTTCTTGATCTCTGTGTGCTGCAAGGCCTTCAGGATGGGAGGATAAAGATGACTGGTAGAGAATATAAGGGACTATATGTGCTAAAAGTGACAAATACACCTGAATTAGTAAATGTCATTCAAAATGATAAAAACTTGAGAAAAGACTGTGATATCCACTTATGGCATAGAAGATTAGGACATGCCCCATTATCTGTGATGAAGCATCTGGATGATACATGTACTAAAAAATTTGTTTTGAATAAGAATTTTGATACTTGTGATATTTGTGTCCAGTCCAAGCAGATCAAGTTTCCCTTCAATTCTAGTGTTATTAAGTCTCGGAAATGCTTTGATTTAATCCATACAGATGTATGGGGTCCATATAGGAACCCTACACATCACGGTTTTCAGTTCTTCCTAACATTAGTAGATGACTTTTCAAGAGGAACCTGGATTTTTCTGATGAAACATAAGAATGAAACTAAGATTCACATAAAAATTTTTATTGCTTATGTCTCAACACAATTTTCTGTCACTATGAAAAAGATTAGAAGTGATAATGGGACTGAGTTCACTAACAGCCAATTGAGATATTACTTACAACAAAGGGGAATAGTTCACCAAACTACTTGTCCTTATACACCAGAACAAAATGGGGTAGTAGAGAGGAAACACAAAACCATTATGTAAATAACAAGGGGCCTTATTCTGCAATCTGGAATCCTAATTAAGTATTGGGGAGAGTGTGTCAAAATGGCTAGTTACTTAATAAATAGGATCCCATCAAAGGTGATTAACTATCAGACACCTTATGAGAGAATTTATGGAGTAAAACCAGACTTGAATAATCTGAAAACTTTTGGGTCTTTAGCCTATGCCACTGATTTAAGAGTCAACAACAAGCTACAACCTAGATATATTCCTAGTGTGTTTTTGGGTTATCCTGATTACAATGAAACATTCTCTCCTGTTGTGAAAATGTTTACTGTTAGAGTTGTTTTAAAATTAGCTTCTGTATATAAGTGGAACATTTACCAAATGGATGTTCATAATGCCTTTTTACAAGGTGATTTAAATGAGAAAGTTTATATGAGAGTTCCTCAAGGATTTAAGAGACAAGGGGAACAAATGGTTTGCAAATTAAACAAATCCCTCTATGGTTTGAAGTAGGCTTCAAGACAATAGAACCAAAAATTGTCTGAAGCTCTGCAAAAGGGAGTTTCATTCAAAGTAAAGCTGATTACTCTCTTTTTATCAAACACTTTGATCACAGCATTGTGCTTATTCTTGTGTATGTGGATGATTTATTAATAACTGGAAGCACTAAAATTGGTATTGCTAAAACTAAACATTTCTTACATAGTCATTTCAAAATAAAGGACCTTGGTCTAATGAAATACTTTCTTGGGAAAGAGGTTGCCAAATCTAAGAAGGGAATCATTTTATCACAAAGAAAGTATGTATTAGATTTGTTGTTTGAAACTAGAATGACAGGTTGTAAGCCACTGATGGTTCCGATGGCACAAAATTTGAAGCTGTTTGCCTATGATGAGAAGAGGAACCGAAAGGAGGACCTATTGAAAGAACCAAGGAAATACAGACGGTTGGTTGGTAAGTTAATTTATTTAACCATGACCCAGCCTGACATTTCCTATTTTGTGCAGACATTGAGTCAGTTCATGCAAATGCCAACTAAAGCACACATGGCTGCAGCAAGGAATGTACTGCGTTATTTGAAAGGGACGCCTGGCTTGGGAATATTCATTAATTCAGAAGGAGAACTGCAGCTGGAATGTTATTGTGACTCAGATTGGGCATCATGTGCCATGACAAGGAGATCCGTATCTGGCTACCTGTTGAAGCTGGGAGGATCACTTATGATGCGGAAGACCAAAAAGCAGCATATTGTTTCCAAATCATCTGCAGAGGCAGAGTATAGGGCTTTAAGCATGGCCACATCTGAGATAGTTTGGGCTGTTAGCTTGCTAAAGGATTTAGGAATAAGTCATGAAGATCCAGTAAAAATATATTGCGACAGCAAGGCTGCAATATGTAGTCTTCCATGAGCGTACAAAGCATATAGAAATAGACTGCCATTTTGTTAGAGAAAAATGGGAGTCAAAGTTGATTGATTTGCAGCATGTTAGAAGCCACAATCAGGAAGCAGATTTGTTAATGAAGGCTGTAGGAGGAAGCATACAGAAGAAGCTCTTGAACAAGTTAGGAGCTACAGATGTCTTTAGGCCCCTAACTTGAGGGGGAGTATGGGAAAATTGTTGTTGTATTTTTTCTATCTTGTTATATAAACTGTTGCGCTGTATGTGTATCTTGGGCTTGGGCCCATATAGGTTTCTGTACTAGTTTAGGGGCAGATGCTTATCTACCCGCCTATAAATATTGGGTCAAGGAGGCCCATAGTGTGTTTAATTGTTCATTCTTCCAAATTAATGAAATTATTCAGATTCAGTTGTGCTGTGCATTTTAGTAACTGATGTTCAAGAATTTGCTTAACTAGTATCATATGAAATCACTATATAGTACAAGTGGCTGAATATACTCATTCATATATACCCTCACATGACTACCTCTTAGAGTATCTGTTCTTCATACTCCGATATTATCATTTTGTGGAAGTTCATTTCTTAATTTGGTCAAAAAAAGGCAAGCAAATATTGTTCAAGTACAGATAGAGAATGTGAAAGGGAGGGGGATTGAAAAGAAATTCAGAACGAAGATTGTTGCAAAATCTTCAATTAAAGTAGCTTTCTTACTCTTATTTTTAGGACTGAAGGTACATAGTATTTGGCCAAAAAAAAAAAAAGAAGGTATGTACATAGTAATATATTCTTTATTTTGAGATGAGAAAACAGATAGATTTTTCAATTCACTGCAGCTTTGTTTTAATGGAGCACACCTGGGAAAACGAGATGTCAAAATATGCCCATTGAGAAACATAAGGTTGCCTAAGTGGAAATTAGTGGGAAATTCCCTCAGAGCTTATGATTAACTGATGAATCAACCATAAATTAAAGCTCTTGCCATGTGCATGCACGTTGATCGTTGGAGAATGCATATCAAGAATGAGATGATTTATTAGTGAAAGAATTGGAATCTAAACTTAGTTTATATCAATTAATCAACTCCATTTGCAATTATTATTAAAAAAAATTATTGCATGATATTCTATGCAATATCAGGAATTTCAAATCAAATTTTGATGAAGACGATATCATTTTGTGTAGTGTAATTTCAAATCAACTCTTATTGATAGAGTTTTTAGTCTTTTTTAATTTGTTGAGCTCTTAGTTTATAAGGAGATGAGCTTTCAGAATCAAACTTTGTATATCACATGCATACTATTATGATCTGGCCTACTCGTTGTTTTTAAATATTAAAATTTTAGCCCATGAGTCCATGTGATAGGGATAATAAAATAAAGAGGAATACTTTGAATTCGAAGAACGCATTTCGAAGTCTTCCCAAACATTCAATAGTAAAATACAATAATTGTTGGCGCGACCCATAATCCTTTAAAAATTTCTCCACAAGAAAAGACCATCTCCATTAACGAAACAAAACATCCAGAAAGGTTCATAACTCGCCATCAAACTTCAAAACCGAAAACAAAATAACAACTAATTAGGAAAAAACATATAAACAGCTAGCAAATAAAAATATACCTTTCGAAGGTCCATCTAATGAAGTTTTAGCAATCTAATCAGCTACTAAATTTATTTTCCTGATAACTCATAAACAGTAATGGCCTGTAATGAATCTTCTTTGATCTCCATAATGTCTTCATTAGGCATCTTCCTCCTCAAATGCTTTGAAGTGGCCTGAAATTTAATTATTGAATCAAAATATACCTTGCTTAAGAGTAACTCCATAAGCTCATAAATGACAAGGATTTAAGCCAAAATGTACACAATTAAGCAATAATGTGGAGCCCAAAAACATTAGAAACATTTTCCTACCTTTGAATGTTCAATATATACACAAATGCACCAAAAAACATCAAAAGCTTATGGAAAATGCGCTGAAGTGGCATGAAAATCTGGAGGTTAACAGCTTTCGATGCCATTCGCTATTGCTGACACCTTGAAACACCCTTTAAGCCGAGCTCTGTTGCCGTTTTATCCCTTGGCCACTCGTCTCATTAAGAAGTCAATAGTAAAAGCATGCATAATACTCATTACCAACCTTCATGCATAATACAGAAGAATGTGTCTATATTTGTTAGGAAAGGCAACTTCAAGTCTTCAACTATAAATGTGGTCCACAAAAAGGAGATTGTCATATATTTAGGCCCATTTGGAATGGCTTATAAATAACTTTTCAATTATAACTTATGAGACACGAGGTAAGTATGTAAGAAGAGTTTTATCTTTGCTTACTAAAAACATGCTTATAAGTGATTTTAAAAATAATGGCAAACAAGGCCTTAATGGGAGTGAAAATATACAGACTAGTTTGAAATTTCTGACCCAAAAAAATTGTTTCTTATATTTAAAAACGCTACTGTGTACAAAAGGAACAGATGGACTAGCTGAAACATGTTTTTTTCTTTGCTTTTATATTTAATGCTTTTAGGTACGTTTGTCTTCGCTTTAGTGCATGCTAGCAGGGAAAATCATTATGTTGCCCTTAAAAACTTCAAAAAAAAAAAAGGGGGGGAATTAACAATTCCGATTTCAACTTTGAAAATATGCATTAGAATAAATACAACTAAAACAAATAACAAATACACGTAAGAGAATTAATAACTCTCATTTTACCGGTGAAAATATGCATTTGAATAACTACAAATAGGAAATAACAACGACACCCCTTGATGACAACTCCCATTCAACTGTTGAGAACTAAAATTAGGCGATTAACAAAAATACATAAGAGACTGATTTGATGTCATCTAGGGTTATGTTGGTCTTTGTTCTTCTCGACTTAATTCCATTGTGGCCTAAAAAGACTGATTTATGATTTTTCAAAACTTTCTATTTATTAAGTTCAAATGATGTCATTTAAGTGAAAATTTTTCTCTTTTATCTTCTAGTTCCTCTTTACCTGATCTCTCACATGCGGCAAACCAAGTCCCTTTTCCCGTTGTTATCTCTTCTATTTTATGATTCTATCTCCCCCCCCCCCCGGGGCCCCAAAAAAAAACTATTTATTGAGAAAATTATGTTTATCATGGTATAAAAATATTAAAACATTTACTTTTCTTTTACAAATTTTATATTTTGACTTGTAAATATAAGGATTTAACTTATAAATATAAAAAAATTTAATTTAGATTTCTTTCATATCTTCTCATTTTCTAATCTTATCTTTCCATTATTTGGCGCTCTCTTTTCTTTATGGCCCCGTTCACATGTCCCGCTGCGACGTGATGTTGTCAGTAAAAATCGATTGAGTATGAAGAAAGCTTAATTAATGTATCTAAATTTAGAGTAAAATACATCAATTGTCCTCTATTTAACTTAAATTACAGAAAACTTTCTTTTATTTTAAAAACTTATATGAACCTTCCTTAAAATTAAAATATATGTTGCACAAATCTTCTTTTTAGTTTTGATATTAAACTTCCACCCTTAATTGACTGCTAAATCATAAGGTTGACCTTCCTCTCCTTGATGCAAATATTACTTAATAATTATAATTTAATCACATATGATATGTTTTTATTTAAAATTAAAAATAATTTTAATACATATAATATTTTTTGTCAGACTATTAAATCGATTACATATCATACATTTAATTAATTTTATAAATAAAAATTTTTATTTTAATAATCTCATTTATTTATTAAAAACTAACTGTGATGTAATTTTTTTAAATATTTATTACAAAGTTATGTTTTAATTTAGTAAATTTAGTAAAAATATTAAATACGTAACACCTCACTTTTAATATACTAATAGATCATTTTTAACGCCTGTGAATCACTAACACCAGGTTTCCATCCTGGGAAAAGACAGGGAATTTTTTCTTTTTTTTTTCCTTTAACATTGGAATCCGTTGATCAAATGTTTCAAACCTTCAGATAACAGATTAGTGATCCAATATCAACCCTGCTTTCAACTCAATCTATTATCACCTAAAATAATTTCATACTATACAATCTTATAATATTATATTAAAAAATAAAGCAACGCTCACCTCCTTTTTCTAAAGGATACAAAATAATATTTCCATAAAGCAAGTAAAGTTACTTGCCCGAATATTTTACTATACAATTTACAGAATTATAACAGGTATCTCTACTCTTCAATCAGCTCACCTTCTTCTTAAACATCCTCCTTATCCTTCGAGTTACTAGCCTTCGCTGTTCATCATGAATTGGGGGGTGAGATTCCGAAGAATCCCCGTAGTAGTAATTTCCATCAAACAAATGTGCAGATCACATAAAACATGCAAAACAAGCCATATGGAACAAAACCTTGGAAGCTAATGCAATTAAGCATTTATGCGCAATGACAGATAGACAAGCTGAATAAATAATGCGCAAATAATTGGCAATCACTGCCGCGCATATAATTGGCAATCACTGCCCCATGTCTATCAGCTACACGTGATCACGGCTAAATAATCCATGCAAGGAATTAAGGATTACATGTTCTCATGCTTTTTGAATAGCAATATGGCACAAACAGACATGCAGCAATCATACACAAGTGTAAGGGAGGAAAGAACTACTACCTGGTCCGCGTCCCTCCAAATCAAACCTTTCCGTTCTCCTTTCTTTCTACTTCTTGGTGGGCTTGAGCAGATATAAAAACCTATCATATTAGTAAGGGTAGGTTAATGCTTGATCCAACATAATTTATAAATTAAATAACTCTCTTTAAATCCCAATCTCTTTCAATCTCTACCCTTACTTAATAGTTGGTCATCCTGGACAATTTTTCCTATTTAAACTTTTCTCTTTGGAGAGTTTCCTTCCTTATCTCAACCCAAACAATTACTTTACCCAGTAACTGGTCATCTTGGTCAAAAGCACTATTTCTATTTATTATAATTTAAGGATAACATCGTATCCCCTTTTCCAAATCAGGCTCCACTTTTA